GAGCAGTGAGTTCGATCCTCATTTGGTGTCCCATACTTTCGGCCTTGTGCCACATCTAAGCTACGCTTGGAAAATCAATATATGGTCGATCAGAAAAAGCGTTCAGTTAGAATGGAACAAAAACAGTATCATTAGATGTAACAGAGTCTGTCTTCTTTAATTACTTTAATGTACTTTCATTAAAAAAAACATTTTGAATTAATGCAGTTACTGATATAATAGAAGTAGTCTGTATTTATTCAATCGAACTTAGCCGAGGACATGAAGTGATAAAATTGGCATGAAGACCCATTTCAGACGACAATTATTTTGGAGTTTTTGAAATTCAATTTTTCAGTGTGCTACCAGGGATATAAAAGAGGATACATTTATAAAGCAATTGTTAAGTTTGATGAAATTTGGTTGAAAGATCAGCAAAAACTAAGAAAGAAAACCGTAAAATTCGTCATTTTCCGCTATTTACGTGTGTTTTCACAATATGGGTGGACTCAATTATCAAGTCAAATGAACGTTAAGCAATCAACATAGTGTTGGCTACTATTGAGTGAAGATTGTATTAGATTGCTTGAAAATTGAGGGAGTTTTTAATTTAAAATTTGTGTTGAAATCGATTTTTCGTTTTTCGCTAAACGCAGTGGCGTAGAAATAAAAATGAGGTATCGTTGAGCTCGTCATGATGTAAATAGCCTACATACCGAGTTTGAATGAAATCGGAGGAAAAAAGTTGAATTTATCGATTTGTGATCGGCTTTATCGATTATTGATGTTAAAAAATATCGATTTCTCAAGCTAAGGACATATCTCTTACATTATATAATGTGTGCCAAGCTTGGTCAAAATCTGTTCGAAGGATCTTGAATGAAAAGGTATCACGCAGACAGACAAACACACATACATACATCTTCTGTTTTATACATAAAAATATCGCGCTAACTGAAGGCGACTTTTCCAACAATTTGCAAAACGACCTCGTGGTAACTGAATAATTACATGCCTGAAACAGGAGTGCCCTACAGTATTTCAAATTGCCTTAAATGAAACTGTCCTTGATTGAAGAAGCGAAACGCGGGGGTTTCCTGTGTGTGGGTGGGGGGATTAAATATGCGTTTAGAATAAATAGATTTTTCTTCGAGATCTATAAGGGAACATTAGAAGCAAATTGGGCTTACAGGTCATGAGTTTGACCTCACAAGTTGTCCCATACTTGTGTTTTGGGGCCAAAACTAAGCTGAATAAATAAACGAATCCATGGGTGCATCAATCAATCCGGAGTCAGACACGTTATTAATTGAAATCTGATCTGATATGTTCACTGTATGTGATTAATATTCATCGTCGAATTAAGTGCATTAACAAAGAAAGTGACCTACTTATTTACAAGTGAATTAAGTGCATTGATAAAGAATATGTTGCAAAGTAAAAAGATTTTTTTTATTCATAATATTTACATGTAGACTATTTTCTTCATCTTTGTTGTTTTTATCAACGTTTCGGTCGTTGTTCTCTCTGGCCTTCAGGAGGGCTATGTCGATCCAGATAATCTACAGATAATTCCGAACTAAACACTTTATTTAATCTACGGGAATAAACTGTTCACGTTTCACTGCAAATGTCTAGTATAAAAACAACAACAAAGATGAAGATAACAGTCTGAATGTAAATAGTTTAAATAATGATAACTCCTCATCCCAGAAATTTAGACAGAAAATGCTTTTTTCATTATTACATCATGGACTTCTAGATGCTCAAACATATTCACGGATGAATTAAGTGCATTAACAGGGAATGCGATTATGTTGATTTTCTTCTCTTTTATTTTTAAATAAATATTTTTTCATTAGGCTACGGACTTATTGATGAATCTACGTATATCTCCATCCAGGATACTGAGGTAGTATCACGGTTATTAACGTGAAAAGTGGAACCAGCCTGCGGGGTTCAAGTTCTGACTGAGTTTGTTTTGTTCACTTAACATTAATGTCCTTGGAGAAGGCATAAATCTACATTTTCCCTGGTTAAAAAAAATGTGACAAACTGGGTGCTTAATATTTAGTCAAGGAAAATAAAAACCCTGAAACATCTTTAAATAATATAGCGGTTTCTCTTCAAGGTCTAAAAGACCAATTCCGAATTCAGAACCATCTTGAAGATCGATTCCGCGAGGTAACACATCAGTAAATCCGGTACTGCTATGATCATAATGGGATTTGCGATTAGTTGCGGTGACTTACATCAAGCGGTAGAAACTGCGATCAATTCTATTTTAGGGATATATTTTGAAATGCGTCTTTGGCGAGTCTGTTTCCTTCACTAACGCATTAATGTCCTTGGAGAAGGCACGAATCTACATTTACCCTGGCACTCGTTAAAAACACGTGGAAAACTGTCTGCTTAATATTTGGTCCAAAAGAAAAAACAATCCTGAAAAACCTTTAAATAATATAGCAGACTGGGTTTCAAATGCCTTTTAGAGCGGCTGCTCTACAAAATCTAGAAGACCGTTTCCGAATTCAAAACCACCTTGAAGATGAATGGATTCTGCGAGGTAACCTTGTCCAAGACATATCAGTAAATCCGGTATCGCTATGACCATAATGGGATTTGAGATTAGTTACGATGATTTACATCAAGCGGTAGAAACTATGATCATTCTTTTTTAGTGATATCTTTATAGAACCCACTAAAGCTACAATTTTATAAGGAGAAGAACAGCCCAACATGCGAATTACAAAGGGGAGATACAAAAAACAAATAAGCACAATTTAAATATCTGGGAAGTGTCTAAACGGAGGACAGAAAGTGTGACACTGAAATTCAAAGGCACATTGGGATAGCCAAAGATGGCTTCCAAAAGTGAGAAGTGTAACATAATACACGATTAATATTCGCAATTTCAGATTTAAAATGATGAAATCTAGCTGCCAATCTAGTACTGTACATAAAACTACCAGGTCAAGTTACCGAAAGGGAAAGACCTAGAGAAGAAATGATATAAAAAAATATGAGAACTAGAAGTCCCCTTGGGATTTATTATCGTTAGCAAGAGAAAAAGCCCAAGCTGCGAACTACATCTTGGAGATGTCAAAATGAAGCAAGAACTGAAATTAAACTGCCTGGCGGGCATAACAGTTATTAACCTGGAAAATGGATCCAACCAGTATCTGTTTATATTTCTGAGATGAAGTATTATGTACACTATTTACATTATTCGGACTATTGTCCTCATCTTTGTCGTCATATTTATTACAATTTTTCGGACCTTCAGTATCTGTCTATACTTCTGAGATGTGGTATTACGTACACAATTTACATTATTCGGACTAGTGTCCTCATCTTTGTCACCATATTTATTACAATGTTTCGGCCGTTGTACGCTCCAACCTTCTGGTGGTTGGAATGTCGAACTGAACCCTTTATTTCGAGACATTGTAATAAATATGGCGACAAAGATTAGAACAATAGTCCGAATAATGTAAAGAGTAGATCCAACCAGTCCAACATGCTATTTACATATTGAAGATACAAAAATCAAACAAGCACAACAATTGAAATATCAGGGTACGGCAAGTGCGACACTGAAATTTAAAAGCACATAGGGTACTCTACATTGATAAAATCCAGAGAAGAATTTGCAATGTTATTGGTATCTGGGCTTCAGTCTGTTCCCCATCGGTGGGGAAGTGACTGAAGATACCAATAACAGTTCAAATTCTTCTTTGGAATTTATGAAGACTCTCTACATATATAACAGGAGCAGCAGACCATATATGACAGCAATATTCTAAGCAAGGACGAGAAGAACTGTATACAAGGCCATGAGTATGGAAGACTCCATGATGATGGAAATAACTACCTAATAATAGTGTGGCGAACAAACGTTATTACATATGCCATAGGGGCTCCACATCGCGTGCGGACATATCTGTCAACACCAGTCACATCCAGGTTTTTCCAGTTAGTAGCGGGACAACTTGGCATATCTAGATAAGAGCCTCTCTTCTGTATCCAGGTACTGAACTCACAACTCTTTGGGTCTAGTCACTTGATCAAACCAACGTGTTTATTCAACGGCCGAAACCTTGTGAATATGGCAATGAAGATGAGGATATCAGTCCGAGTAATGTAAATAATGCAAGTAATCTCAGTGTTATAGACAGATGTTTCGGTCTAGTCAATGGATCTAACCAACGTCTTAACCAATGGCCGAAACGTTGTAAATATGGCAATGCAGATGAGGATAACAGTCTAAATAATGTAAATAATGCAAGTAATCATAATACCTCATCTCAGGGATATAGATACATGTTTCGGTCTAGTCACTGGATCTAATCAACATCTTTATCCAAAGGCCAAAATGTTGTGAATATGGCAATGAAGATGAGAATAACAGTCCGAATAATGTAAATAATGCGAATAATCGTAATACCTCATCTCAGAGATTTAGACAGATATAAGAAATCCTGTTTCGAAATTTCACGGCCCAATCAAATTTCCAAAATCTGACCAAACATGAGAATTTTCTGTGAATGAATTTTGAGTCAGGGCAAGAATTTTTCAGCACTCCCTTATAGACGAAACCACGCATTTCTACATGCACCCCACCCACATGTATGTAGGTAAAACTATGATTAGCGTATTCTTTCACAAGGCTACAACTGTAGAGGCACTGAGTGAACATTTATAGCAATGGTTGCTGAACATAGCTTTCAGCAAAACACTCTATAGTCCGTCATATCCAAAATCTTTTGTACGTCAGGAACTGCGCTTTGAAATACACACACAATCCCTTACGCACACATATCTAAGTAGAGAGAATTAATAAAAGTCAGAATGTTTCGAGTTTTCTTCTACCTGCCTGACCTTGTTAATTACCCGACTCTCCTCTCGGCTTCTTCTTGAAAAGGTGGAACCACACTTTTGCCGTTGTCTAAACCTAATTGTCTCGTGCACACGACTGACTTGCCAAATTCCAGCAAGCAGGAACGACTGCTTCATTTCATATGGCATGTGATAGCAGGTGTATATCACGGTCGAAACCAGAGGCTCCTCTCACGGATCATCTGTCCACAGCCTTTGACTTGGAATCGTGTAATTACTCTCTTTTACGCCCTTTTTGTTTATTATTTTCTTTAACTTCTTTCCTAACATTTGTACTATTTTGTATTTTACACTTTGTTGCCTTCTTTAGGAGAGAACGAGACACGGAAATACGTTGATCAGGCTTTCTTCTTTGCCCTTTACTTTCCGTTTTCTTTCTCTGTCTATTAGTTTAATCTTCATTTCATCGTTATTTTAGTATTCATTGTTTTTTTTTCTTTTTCTTTCACATTTTTAGTCTTTTTTCCTTTTCTTTCTGTCATGGTATTTTCTTTTCTTTTATCGCTTTAATATTTCTTTTCTTGCTTTCCACTTATAATTTCCTTCTTTGTTTCTGTTATAGTTTTAAACACGCTTTCATTTTGTTTTCTCCTCTCTCTCTCCTACAGTCTCCACCTGTTTCCTTTTTCTTCTCTCTCTACCTCTGTGTCTGTCGTAATTCTTTTTTATACTATTATTCTTTCTTTTATCCTCTCTCTCTTCTTTTTTCCTGCTCTCTCTTTTCTTTCATCTTGCATAGTTTAACTTTCTTCTTTTTATCACTCCAGTACATTTCCTTCATTGTCTCCTTTTTTTCTTTCCTTCTTCAGCTTTCTCTTTTTTGTCTTGTATAGTTTTACTCTTTTTTTCTTCTTTCTTTTTATCTCTCATACATTTGTCATATAACATCCTTTTCTTGCTTTCTTTCTTATAATTTTCTTCTAGCTTTGTTATAGTTTTAAACACGAATCCATTTTGTGCTTTCTTTCCCCACTCTCCTACAGTTATAACCTGTTTCCTTTTTCTTTTCTCTGATAATGATATTCTATTTTTAGCTTTTCTTTATCTCTTCCGTTTCTTGCTTCCGCTTTGCCTTGTAAGGTTTTAGATTCATTTCTTCTTTCTTTCTTTCTTTCTTTCTCATCCATTTGTCATAGTCTCTTCTTTCCTTCCTTCAACAGGTTTCTCTTTTCTTTTTTTTCCTTTGTCCTCTATAGCTTTAGTCACTTTTTTCTTTCTTTTTATTTCCTTAACACATTTGTCATATAGTCTCTATTTTCTTTCTTTAATAGTCTACCCTATCTTTTTTGCTTTAGTTTCCTCTTTCAAAAGCGCTATCCTCTCTCTTCTTCTCATTTCCTTCTCTCATAATTATAACCGATGTTCCTTTCCTCTTCCCTCTTATAGTTCTATTGTTACTTTCATTCTTTCTTTAGATATTAAATTTCTTCTTCTTTGCTTTCTTTTTATCTTCGTATCTTATGCGTTCTTTCTTCCTCTCTTCTTCATTTTCTTTCATTTTCAACGTTTTCTTCTCTCTTCCTTTCTCTATTATAGCTTTTAACCACCCTGCCCCCCGTCCAACTTCTTTCGCTTTTCCTCTTTATTTTTTATTCCCCCCACCCACTGTTGTTTATGTTTGCTTTCTTCTTGTTGATTTCTTGCCGGAAATGTGTAGGCTATTTACATTATTCGGACTATTATCCTCATCTTTGTCGCCATAATTATTACAACGTTTCGGCCGTTGTACGCTCCGGCCTTCTTCAGGTCGTTGGAATGTTAAACTGAACCCTTTATTTCGCTCACTGGGGTAAACTGTTTTAGTTTCACGTGCCATGTTTCATGAATGTCAGTTATCAGTTATCTCCTGTTAATTCCCCTCTTCAAGTTCTCGACCGGCTTAACCGGGTATTGAACTCATACTCTTGGGTCCTGTCACTGGATATAAATAACGCCTTTATCATAGGCAAATACGGAAATGAGAGAGAGTTAAAAAAAATTAGTGGTAAAACAAAATGCGTCTTATACAACGAGAAATACGATAGTTATTCTTCCCTTCATAATTTAATCTTCATTCTGTTCTGTTGTGGAGTGATTTCACAGTGGAGGCTTGTATTTGTACTAAGTCGGTCCTAAAATAGGTTCGACGTACAAAACGTTATAAACTTGATATAATAGGTATAACGCAGAGTAATCTAGTTGTGGTCGCTGATACTTTAGTATTCGACTGACTGTCGTCCGACATCGAATGACCGACTAACCCTTACTACTCCTAGTTATTATAGGTGGGAGAGTCTATTAACTATAGAATAGGTGTGTTCTACTATAACATGTTCAAAACTTTCCTTTTTATTTAGTCTCTTCTTATTTTTATTTATTTATTTATAATCACCGTTTCATTCGTTAAAAGACTTCAGCATTTTTTTCTAAAATGGGGTTTGGGCAATGCAATTAACTCTTTTTTCTTTTGTTGTTGTTTAGTCCAACGCATTCTACAGCCTTCATCAAGCATACTATTCATATAGAAAACGAAAGAACGGATTTGTAAATCATAAAATGATAAACTGGAAAAATGATTTTAGATATTGTTAGCTTCCCCTATAAAGGACAATAATTTAAAATACAGTTGAGTTACGTCCCTTGTCCACTAGTTGGACACGGCACTTCTGAATTCAACATGGTGCTAGACTGACACGCACGTGGAACTCATAGTTTAAATCCAAACAAATCCTTGCAGATCTATTATGTATTAAAATACACTTACCGTTTATTTTCACACGTTTTGGTTCATCCGAATAACCAGCGATATAACAAATATACTTATATGCTTGTAAGATTGCCCCACTTGTCCGCCAAAGACCTTCTGCTAATAAAACTTATATAGCGTTACCAAAACAGTATATAAGAAAAAGCGTACCAAAAAATCACTCATTTTTTTTTCTCTTTATCCGAAGGATGCCTTAGAGATATGTCTCGCCCCCATCTAGGCGACCTTTTGTTCTCCAGTAAGCGTCATGTCACACTGAACACAACTCAGAATAGTACACATTATGCAATGGTCTAAGCTTTCTAGTCTACATATACCTAACAATACTACCAAACCAACAGATAAAGAACTGTTTTCAAAAGTAAGTCTCTCAGAATCTTCCATAGGAACTTCATATATACATACGCATTTCATTTTATTCCCTTTTGTATTATTTCCATTCACATTCGTTCAGGTAGTAAAATATCTTCTTGTCGTTAATTGTACGTATTTGTTTTGATATCCATTCTTAGGCTATTGTCTGGGGAAAATCCAATATGTCCACATAGTTTCAAACAGATATTTCTCATGATGTTTGAACGATTTCAATCACAGTCTATCAATGCATTTATCACTATTTTTCTGGTTTATACTTCCAAGAAGGAAGAAAGGACCTTGATGTCTTTTCATGTCGATTGTTTACCTGAGAAAGGCAGTACAATGGATCAGTAGAAATTTTGTCGTTGCAGCAGAAGCATAAAAATGGTTGAGCTGTTTGGGAACACGCCCGGAATAATATCTCAACTCAAAATTACAAAAGGTATCAACTTATAGATTACCTTCATTTTGTTTAACTGGTATGTATTTCTTTTTTACACTTGTATCTGCGTTTATTATCGTGATGTTTTTTTCTTTAAAATAAAATTATCTTTATCGTGTTCAATTACTATTTTTTCTCTTCTGTTTTCCATATTTTAATATTCTTATTTGAATTTCGCTTCCTTCCGTTGTTCCCATACATTTATGTTTGTTTCGCATACTTTTATGTTTCCCATAAATTTATGTTTATGTTTCCCATACATTTTTATTTCCCATACATTTATTTTTATGTTTCCTATACATTTGTTTGTTTCCCATACATTTATGTTTATGTTTCCCATACATTGATTTTTCGCATGCATTTTTGTTTATGATTGTTTATGTTTCTCCATGCATTTTTGTTTATGTTTCCCCATACATTTATTTTCATGTTTCCCATGCATTTATGTTTCCCATACATTTTTATTTGTTTACCATACATTTATGTTTCCCATACATTTATTTTTTTATGTTTTTATTTGTTTCCCATATATTTATGTTTCCTATATTTATTTTATTTTTATGTTTATTTTCCTATACATTTTTGTTTGTTTCCCATACCTTTATATTTACAGGCATTTGTTTATGTTTCCCATATATTTATTTTTCGCATACAGTTATGTTTATTCTTCCCATACATTTTTTGTTTGTTTCCCATACCTTTATATTTCACAGGCACTTATGTTTATGTTTCCCATATATTTATTTTTCGCATACAGTTATGTTTATTCTTCCCATACATTTTTTGTTTGTTTACCATACCTTTATATTTCACAGGCACTTATGTTTATGTTTCCCATATATTTATTTTCGCATACAGTTATGTTTATTCTTCCCATACATTTTTGTTTGTTTCCCATACCTTTATATTTCACAGGCACTTATGTTTATGTTTCCCATATATTTATTTTTCGCATACAGTTATGTTTATTCTTCCCATACATTTTTTGTTTGTTTCCCATACCTTTATATTTCACAGGCACTTATGTTTATGTTTCCCATATATTTATTTTTCGCATACAGTTATGTTTATTCTTCCCATACATTTTTTGTTTGTTTCCCATACCTTTATATTTCACAGGCATTTATGTTTATGTTTCCCATACATTTTTATTTGTTTACCATACATTTATGTTTCGCATACATTTATATTCCCTATACATTTATGTTTCCCATACATCTATGTTTTCGATATCTTTCTAAATATTTCCTCAAATGTTGACATGATTTTCGTTTAAACATTCATTCGTATGTCATATGATATCGGCCAGTGTTCGTGTTGAGCCACCGAAGATTCAGTGAATCAAAAAATAACATAATTGAATCAGTAGTCAACAAGGAATATGAGGATTTCTACGGTGACAAAGAAGACGGTACTGAGCTGCTATGTGACATCTGTCCTCCTATACGACAGAGAATCTGAAGAGACTCAAGGCGGCAGAGATGTGGTTCTACAGAAGGATGCTGAGGATATCATGGATCGAGTACGGAAGCAACAATGAGGATGCAAACAAGGAGGATGCTTATGCTTAACATAACGAAGCGGCAGATGAAATTTCTGGGTCACCTGATGAGAAAGGAGGGCCTGGAGAATCTGATACTCACGGGAAGAATAGAGGGAAAAAGAGACAGGGGAAATCAGCCCATTACATACGTGGCGGGCTTGGGCAGGTGGATGGCGGAGCGTGGTCTGGGTGAGTTGGCAGAAACACAAAATCTGTTGAGAGATACAAGGGATAGGGGGAAGTGGAGGGCCATGATCGCCAACGTCCTGAAAGGACACGGCACATAAAAAGAAAAGAAGAAGTCAAGAAGGGCTTATTCGAATGATGAACAACATAGAAATTTCGGTCAAGTAAAATAACGGAATTTAAAATAAAATCTAGACAAAGTGAAAATATCGTTAAGAACAAAGAAAAGAGTGCTATTTAATATATTTCCCTCCTCTATGGCAGTGAATGCTGGACATTCTCTTCACATATGAGTTGAGGTGACAGAAATATGTTTTTACGGAATTATGCTGAGGTTATCATAAACAGAACATGTAAGCAACGTGAAAATTTTAAAGAAAATGAGGAAGAAAAAGTGGCATTTGTCTAGGATTGGGTAAAGACAGTTAAAATTTCTAGGACATAATTTCGGATTCTTTCCATATTTTCTCTCTCTTTCAATTCATTTTCTCTTTCCATATTTTCTCTCTCTCTCTTTCTTTCTTTCCATATTTTCTCTCTCTCTCTTTCTTTCTTTCCATATTTTCTCTTTCTTTCAATTAATGTTCTTTCTATATTTTTCTCTTTCTTTCAATTAATGTTCCCTTTCTATCTCTCTCTCTCTCTTTCTTTCCATTTTCTTTCTTTTTCTCTTTCTTTCAATTAATGTTCCCTTTCTATATTTCTCTCTTTCTTTCCATATTTTCTTTATTCAATTAATGTTCTTTCCATATTTTCTCTTTCTTTCAATTAATGTTCCCTTTTTATATTTCTCTCTCTCTCTTTCTTTCCATATTTTCTTTCTTTCTTTTTCTCTTTCTTTCAATTAATGTTCCCTTTCTATATTTCTCTCTTTCTTTCCATATTTTCTTTATTCCATATTTTCCATATTTTTATTCAATTAATTCTCTCTCTCTTTCTTTCCATATTTTCCTTTCTTTATTTCAATTAATATTTTCTTTCTTTCAATTAATTTTTTATATTTTCTCTTTCTTTCAATTAATGTTCTTTCCATATTTTCTTTCTTTCCATATTTTCTTTCTTTCTTTTTCTCTTTCTTTCAATTAATGTTCTCTCTCTTTCTTTACATATTTTCTTTCTATATTTTCTTTCATTCAATTAATTTTCTCTCTCCGTATTTTTCTCTCTCTCTCTTTGTTTCCATATTTTCTCTTTCAATTAATTTTCTCTTTCCATACTTTTTCTCTCTCTTTCTTTCCATATTTCTTTCTTTCAATTTTCTCTTTCCAT